ATGATTCTCTTCAGAGCGAGAAAAAGATGAGCCACCGCCCCTCATTCCTTTCTCCGACACTCACTGTCTGCCCAGAAGAGCCTCTCCTGCCTCTTCCTGACCCTTGTTGTCCCTAAGGGTCTTCAGGCTGGTCGGTTTTCAGCATTTCCCCGGTAGCTCTCGCCCCGGGTACAGCTGAACAGCACAGTGACGAAGCTCCGCCGGAAGAGTCTGAATGCCTTCTTAAAAGTTAAGATAATTTTTAACGTTTGCTTGCTTTTAATTATTCAACTCTATTTCATTTGAAATACAATTTTTAAAAAAGTTTTGTTTTTAATGCTATACCTTTCCCTTCTATTCCTTAATTTGGTTCTTTTTCATATTGTGAACTGACGTGGGTTCCCCTTATCGGGAGAAAGGTGGCCTATAAATCAATCATCCTTCTGTGCTACATGACAGCTGCCCCTTCCCTAATATAATTCCAGATATTTTTGGCATAAAATCCAGCATCTGGCTAAGGGTAGCTTGTCGCTTAGTTGTTCAGTCGTATCCGACTCTTCGTGACCTCATGGACCAGAGCACGCCAGGCCCTCCTGTCTTCCACTGCCTCCCGGAGTTGGGTCAAATTCACGTTGGTCGCTTCGATGACACTGTCTAGCCATCTCGTCCTCTCTCGTCTCCTTCTCCTCTTGCCTTCACTCTTTCCCAACATCAGGGTCTTTTCCAGGGAGTCTTCTCTTCTCATGAGATGGCCAAAGGATTGGAGCCTCAGCTTCAGGATCTGTTCTTCCAGTGAGGATAGATTTCCTTCCTTCCTAGGTTTGTTCTCTTTGCAGTCTAGGGGACTCTCAAGAGTCTCCTCCAGCACCACAATTCAAAAGCATCAATTCTTCAGCGGTCTGCTTTCTTTATAGTCCAGCTCTCGCTTCCATTCACCACTACTGGAAAAACCATAGCTTTTGACTATGCAGACCTCATCGCTTCCTTCCCAAAGAGCAGGCATCTTTTAATTTCGTGGCTGCTGTCACCATCTGCAGTGATCATGGAGCCCAGGAAAGCAAAATCTGTCACTGCCTCCATATCTTCCCCTTCTATTTGCCAGGAGGTGATGGGACCAGTGGCCATGATCTTTGTTTTTTTTGAGGGTAACTGCTCATCTTTAATGGTTCATTCCTCACTTTCTTTTCTCCAGGAAATGCTCTGAATGAATGGGAAGAATTGCAAAGGGATTTTTGGGGAAATCTCAGCTCCTCACCCAATCAGCAGCTGCCAAAAGGCAACTCTAAAACCCCAGTAAATGCCTCGCACTTTATTGCTGCTCCGTGACACCAGCAATACCTGCCGACAGCAAAAGTTGTCTGAAGAAACACGCTGCACAGAGTCATCTTGAAAATACGTTTAATGTCTAACTGTATACAAAAAGTGACGGTATTTTCAAAAAAATATCAAATCCTGTATTTAAAGCCTCTTCACTACCATCGTACAGCAAAACATTGTCATCTAAAAAGAAATGAAAAACAACAGCAGCAGGTGATATGGTCTATACTTCAGAAGTGTGATTGCTTAATAATTCCATATTGTAAACAAATGCAGTTAAATAACCACCCCAGAAGCACAAGCCAAAAAAACCCCCACCCCAGCGGTTTTAACCCACAAAAAAAACCACAATAGGAACAATACGAATCTCATGGCAGAACAAGCGTCATAACTGCTCACATCTGGGGTCAGAATGGCTAGAACGTTTTTTAACTACACAGCAACAACCAACAATGGCTTTTAGGAAGAAGCCAGCCTCTCGAGGCCGGGGGGAGAGAGAGGTTCAAGCATTTCTCATGACAATCAAGAAGGTAGCAAGCAGAGATGCGAAATGGGCAGTAAAGGCGGCTTCGCCAACAGCCTGGCTTTCGGATAATAAACAAAACCCTTGTTTCTGAGTCTGCCCCTCTCGACGCTCAAAGACGTCCAGCATCCAAACGACGCAAGCGGAGTGGGATGTCGGCTGATAAGATTCCTATGCTACCACGCATTTGCAGGGTTTCCATAGAAAGGCAGTAGTGCAGCACACCTAACTCGCTTGCATGAAGAAACGGCAAAGACGTGGACAAGGTGCCCACGCGACGCCTCCGGAGTGACTCCAGAAGTTTCCCAAGCGCAGGAGTGGAATGAGAGATTGTTGGCGGTGTGTTTTGTGCCTTGTTCCTCTCCAGCACTAGACAGCCGTTGTGTGCGTACGTGCTCCGTTTACAGAGATCACAGAATCCAAATTGCTTGGCACGGAATTTTAGGCTGCTTGGGCAGAGTTTTAAATTGGGAGGCCCAAGTCCCACATGAAGATCTCCTGCTGGCGTGCTGGCTTATTTGGAGCCTATCAATTAGCTGGTGGCTGCCCTTGGGTTGAATCCGGAATCGGGTCCCACACCACCAGCAGTAGCATAGAGGTCACCTCGCTGGAGGGGGTCTTCCCTTTGTCCAGACATGACCTTATTTCAGGTAGCACTCTATAACTCACTTACTTGAAGATCAGCCTCGCTGATCTCACCGAGACGTCTCTCTTGAGAAGACATCCATAAAAGCCCCCACTGTTATCCAGACCAAGGGGCTCTTGGCGCTTCTGCAACCAGTGGGTATCAGGAGAGAGGCATACCCACCTATTAGGAATGACCCTAAAAGGTATGATGAGGCTGCAGACAAAGTGGATAACGTCCAAAGGAGTGCAGCCAGGATGATCAGGGGTCTGCAAACCAAGCCCTAGGAGGAGAGACTGAAGGAAATGGGCATGTTTGGCCTTGAGAAAAAGGGGCAATCGGATAGCACTTTTCAAAAACTTGAAGGCCGTCATAATCAAGGAGGGGAAGGATCGGTTCTTGATCAACCCAAAGTGCAGAACATGCAACAACGGGCTCAAGTTAAAAGGAAGCCAGATTGTGGTTGAGTATCAAGACAAACTTCCTGAGGGTTAAAATCATATGGCAACAGAATCAATTACCCTGGGATATGCTGGAGGCATTCAAGAGACAATTAGGCAGCCATCTGTCAAGATGAACTTTGATATGGATTCCAGCACTGAACAGGAAGCTGGACTCAACTGCTATATAGGCCCTTTCCAACTCCATGATTTTATGACGCTAGAACTGAAAATGTAATAGAAACGAGTCTTTGATTGCCTCAAAAAAAATTACCATTCTTTCTACTGTCTGCGTTTCCAAGAGTTCATAGCACATGTTTGTATACAGGAGCCAAAAGCACAACCAAGGTTAATCTGAACAGGTATACACAATTTTATCTTCACATACTTTTTCTGCCTCACAAATGTCTCAAGTCTGCCTATGCTTGTCAAGCTAATCTAAAGACCTCCCTTACTCCTCTAACCCTGGATCTCCCCATGCAGATTCGTCTTCATTTAAGACAATAATCTTGAGTGCCTTTCCGCTCTCAAACTGCACAGTAATGCTTGCATGTTACGGGCAAGCCATCTTTCAGTGTCCCGCAACACATCCTATCCAAATAAACCATGTCAAGTTAGCTCACAGAAAGGAAACGGGTCCTCTACCAAAAGAGAGGAGAGGAACACGCTGATTCCAAAAACATGTATTTTGGGGGAGGGAGAACAGAGAGTTCAAAAGACAGGATCACACACATACACACACACCCAGGATTTTGTAGAGAAAGGGTTCCCGAAGCTGATGCAGGCAGGAAGGGGTCCGCAAAAGGGGAGTTTCGTCGCTCATCACTAACCACAAATACTTGATGACGGCTTGTCAGGCTTGCACAGATTATCACCGAGCACAGCTGTTGCAATGAGTGCCTTGGGGGGGGGGAATCATATTTTCCATAGGAGCAAATGGCTTGTCTGTAACACAGAGGGGAGATACCGCCTCCCTGAAAGAGAAGCACAAAGCAAGGGGCAGACATTTAAATGACAAGCAATCAATAAGGGGGGGGGGACACACCTCTCTGCAGACTTGCACAAGGATCAATTGCCAAGGTTCTCCATCCGTAGAGCCTGGATTCTTTTACTTTTATTTCTACTCCAAGGGAAGCCGTGCATTCGAACTGAGGGCAAAAGGCCAGCTTTGGCCTCACCACCCTTATCATTTCATGAAGCCAGTATGCGAACTCTAAAACATAGGTTAATCCTCATTGGATCCTTCCTGCAAATTGTTTCCCTAAAAGACTTGAAAAGAATGATACGCCTATAAAGAGAAAAGCTACCTCCAAGTGACCAGGCAAAAATTTACAGCAGGGTGCAAACCAATCAGCAGCTAGTTCTTATTCTTACTGATCACCAAGCTGTGGTCTTATTTGCAAGGCTGTCCTAGAAAATGTTAGTTACTCCCAAGAGTATAAGTGTTCATGTTTACGGAGGCCCCATGAATTCAAGATCTGTTTGGCCTAGAAGTGACCTCCAAAGAAGTAAAAAAAGAAAAATGTAAAAACATAGGGTGGGCACATTGCCGAAACCCTCCCATTTTGATGACTGTCAGGCGTTGACATCATGATTGACTTAGTTTTGAGATGAAATTTGGAAGATATCTCCGACGACACAAAGGCGGCTTCCTGCTTCATCTAAGATTAATCATGTAATCTAATTTGGGGGGGGGGCAGGAGAACACCACGGTAAGACATTCAATGACACCTTGTGGATCTCTACTTAATCAATGGTGCATTTCCACAGAAGAAGAGCGGTAACATGAGGTTCGAAGATGCTGGAGCAATTGGGACAAAAGGAAAAAGGAAAAAAATGGGGGGGGGGGAAGAGAGAATTTATCTCTAGTCCTGTTCTTGGTCTCGCCTCTCCAACCAGAAAGATATTTGAATTCTAACTTCAGTTTGCAGAAGGAGGGCACATAAAACAGCTAAGATGTGTTCAAGGCTCACAAGTCAAATAAATAGTTACACATTTAATTTTTTTCATGTTAGATGGCGCATGAAAATAACAACATCCAACTCATTTGGCAAAATCACTATTCAGAAATAATCTGCTCCTAATGCCTGAACACTTCAACTGACTGAAAGGTCAACGTGCGAGGTTGTGAGCAAGAAACTAAGCATCAAGCGTTCAATTCTCATTCTGCAAAATTCTCCCAAGATCGGGAGAAAGCGAGTTTAATCTTGAGAATGGCCTCCAGATTAACGCCTTTTGCTTCCCATCTGTTTATTGAGTAACTGTAGTGTGGGAATCCTGTTTCTTTAAGAACCTCCCCAGAATACACAGAGTTTTCTGAAATGACTCAAATAACCAGAACACACAGACACAAGGCATGGACTCTCAGGCTAGTGAGGACGCCAAGTCCAGGATTTGAAAAGCAGTCACAGCATGTCAACCAAACCTCCAGCCTACTTTGGAGTTGTCCTTACTCTCTGGGGCAGTGCCCGCTTATTCCTAGAGAGGAGCTTGACTTGATCAGGGATGGGAGAACTGGGGCAGTTGACTTGTTTATCCTAACTCGTATTGACAAACAAAAAGGTTATTTCAGCATGTGAACAGAGTCCAGCTTATGCAGAGTGCTCCTTCACACCTCAGGCCGGCGTGCTTCTTATGACTCCAAAAGTTTACCAAAAAACAATTTTAAAATCTGTTGCAAATAACGGGTGGGGAGCGAGAGATCTTCATCAGTTCACCAACACAAGTTCAACGGTAAGGCTGTGAAAATAAAAAGTCAAAAAGAGAGAGAGAGAAAGGTCAGTTTCTGATGCATCAAGAGCAGGTATTTTGCTTTTATGAACTGGATGAAGGTTTATGATTAATGTGCACATTATGACATTATCAACTGAGAACATGGTGAATTAGGAAATTCACTGTGACTGACGTCTAGCAGTATCCCACTCACTGAAAAGAAAATTTCAAAATAACAAACAAAACAAACAGCAGGCACAATCTGATTTAATAATGATTACATGCCATCATGTCTAGAATGATTTCAATACGAATCCAAGGCAGACCTTTCAACATCACAGTAATCTAAGTTTATGCACCAACCACTGATGCTGAAGAGGCTGAAATTGACCAATTCCATGAAGATTTACAACACCTTCTAGAACTGACACCAAAGAAAGATTTTCTTCTCATTACAGTGGTACCTCGTTTAGTGACGTTAATTCGTGCAGGAAAAAACGTCACTAAATGATTTAATCTCTAAGCGATTTTTAAAAGCCCATAGGAATGCATTAAAACGCATATAATGCGTTCCTATGGGTTAAAAACTTACCTGTAAAATTCCTATGGGCTAAAAACTTACCTGTGAGCGAAAATCCTCCATAGCGGCGGCCATTTTGGGTGCCTCTAAAGCGAGGCAAAACAGCGGTCGCCATTGGTTTTTCTGGTGGCCATTTTGGAACTGCCAATCAGCTGTTAAAAATGGGTGCTTTGCCATGATCGTGTCCCCACAATCAGCGCAAAGCGATTTTTACCCATAGGGGCCATCGCTAAGCGATCGCTCTGGCGATGGCAAAAAGTCCATCGCTAAGTGATTTCGCCGTAAAATGGAGCGATCGCTAAGTGAGGCACCACTGTATAGGGGATTGTATTGCTAAAGTAGCGAGTCAAGAGATAAAAGGAACAACAGGTAAGTTTGGCTTTGGAGTTCAAATGAAGCAGGGCAAAGGCTAATAGAGTTTTGTCAAGAGAACAAGCTGGTCATCACAAACACTCTTTTCCAACAACACAAAAGGCGACTCTACACATGGACATCACCAGATGGGCAATACCGAAATCAGACTGATTATGTTCTCTGCAGCCAAAGATGGAGAAGCTCTATACAGTCAGCAAAAACAAGACCTGGAGTCGATTGTGGCTCTGACCATCAACTTCTCATAGCAAAATTCAAGCTTAGACTGAAGAGAGTAGGAAAACCCACTGGGCCACTCAGGTATAATCTAAACCAAATCCCTTATGAATACACAGTGGAAGTAAAGAACAGATTTAAGGAACTAGATTTGGTGGACAGAGTGCCTGAAGAACTTTGGATGGAGGCTCGTAACATTGTCCAGGAGGCAGCAACAAAAACCATCCCAAAGAAAAGGAAATGCAAGAAAGCAAAGTGGCTGTCCAACGAGGCCTTAGAAATAGCAGAGAGGAGAAGGGAAGCAAAATGCAAGGGAGATAGGGAAAGTTACAGAAAATTGAATGCAGACTTCCAGAGAATAGCAAGGAGAGACAAGAGGGCCTTCTTAAATGAACAATGCAAAGAAATAGAGGAAGATAACAGAAAAGGAAAGACCAGAGATCTGTTCAGGAAAATTGGAGATATTAAGAGCAAAAATGGTCTAAAGCTCAACATCTAAAAAACTAAGATCATGGCCACTGGTCCCATCACCTCCTGGTAAATAGAAGGGGAAGATATGGAGGCAGTGACAGATTTTACTTTCTCGGGCTCCATGATCACTGCAGATGGTGACAGCAGCCACAAAATTAAAAGACACCTGCTTCTTGGGAGGAGAGCGATGACAAACCTAGACATCAACTTGAAAATCAGAGACATCACCTTGCTGGCAAAGGTCTGCATCATCAAAGCTATGGTTTTTCCAGTAGCAATGTATGGAAGTGAGAGCTGGACCATAAAGAAGGCTGACCGCCGAAGAATGGATGCTTTTGAACTGTGGTGCTGGAGGAAGCTCTTGAGAGTCCCCTGGACTGCAAGGAGAACAAACCTATCCGTTCTGAAGGAAATAACCCTGAGTGCTCACTGCAAGGACAGATCCTGAAGCCGAGGCTCCAATATTTTGGCCATCTCATGAGAAGAGAAGACTCCCTGGAAAAGACCCTGATGTTGGGAAAGTGTGAAGGCAAGAGGAGAAAGGGACGAAGCTGCTAACAGTCAGCAACAGGTTTTTCTCCACCAAAGGGGTAGCCGTGTTTGTCTGTGGAAGCATTGTAGGTGAAAACAAAACAAAAAGTTTTTAAAAAGGCAAACACCTGGTGCCAACTTTAAAAACTGACTTTTAAATTTTTAATATGAGCTTTTGTGGACCAGGCCACTTCATCAGACATCAGAGAAGGGGATATAACATGTTAAATATTTACACATGGAGTCAAGGTACAGAGAGCAAAATACAGAGATTTACACTGAAGAACAGCAGAAGTCAATGAAAATATTCCGAGAGATCTGTAGCATGCGGGTGTACACAGAGCATTCCTTGTTATTCCTTTTCTTAAATTCTAGTGCAGTGAGTCCCAACCTTAGGTAACTCAGGTCTTCTTGGACTGCAGAACTCTGGCCATAGCACAGTTTGGTGGCAAAGCCTTCTGGGAATTGCAGTCCAGGAACCTCTGGTCTAGGGCAGAGGGCACAACACCCTCCATGTTTCTCAACTCTGTGGGGCAAGGTGGAAAAACAGGTCTTGGCTGACAGAAGCCAGAAGATAGGCATTCACTCACTCTTTTTTTCTTTTTTTTCTTTTTGGCTTTCTAGAAGAATGGCTACTGCTTGCGTGGACCAGCTTGTTAGCGTCAAGCTTGGGTAGATTCTTTTTTCCAGTATACCCCAAGTGTGAGTCTTAGGCTGCTACTTATGGCTAGAGGTAAAAATTGTGGCATTTTAAACGTTGGGAACTTCGGAATTGAGACAAGCTGGAAGGTCTAATAACTTTGTCAGATTCCTCTTGCTGAAACAACTGAACAAATGGTTTCCCCGTCCAGCCAACTTTAAAATTCAGTTTTAGCAAATAAATAAAAAAACAAATAAAACCCCCATTTAAAAAAAAATTATACAAACTATCTTCCCCCCCCCCCAATCCCACCAAGGACTAACTGGAGATATAAATTGTACTGATTCTTGCTAAGGTGCACAACCCCTCCCCTTTATTAATACAAAATCAATAAATTCTCCCTAAGCATCTATAAAAATTTTATTTCTCAAACTTCTTCACTTTAATGTTACACATCAATGTATCATTAACAGCAATATCTCAAACCTGTTTGTACCATCTATTTAATTAAAAATCAAAGTTTGTTTTTCAAATCCTTGCTACCATTAATCTTGCCACTGTAAATTAATTTGAAATTAATTATTTCATTGTCCAGTTCCATTGCTCCTTACTGAATATCGATAAAAGTGCTATTTTGGGATATACCTATACATTTAATTTAGTTTTTATTTATTGCCTTGAAAACAGGTGGATTTGATTTAAACTGTAATTTAAATCCATTTGTTTGTTTGTTTGTTTAAATCACTGATTGAAAACCAACCGCCAAAACTTCAATATATTTTTCACATTCTCAACATAAATAATGACCGGTTTTCTGAAACCCTGTCCAACACAACTTAAAATAATTACCATCTCCTTGGTTTAATTTCCCCAGAATTAAATTCCATCTCCTGATTCGCTTATGAAAATTTCCTTTTATCCTTACATGGATATTCTTGTATCCCAGATATTATTCCAAACCTCGGTATTTATTCCTTCTCTCCAGTCATGTTAAGAAAGTCTTGTGGGCCTTCCCGTTCTGACATTTTATAATTCCTCCCATTTTATTTTCAGCTACATTTTCACTTCTGTTAATACCATTTCTTCAAATATTGCAAGACCCCTACATTTACTATTTTTTTTTTTTTTTTGCCTTCTTCTGACATTTTATAATCCCTCCCATTTTATTTTCAGCTACATTTTTGCTTCTGTTAATACAATTTCTTCAAATATTGCAAGACCTCCTACATTTACTATTTCTTTTTTGGCCAAACGTCAAGCCAACTCTCTTGTGCAGAAACGCACTAGTTCTGCAACCGGGACAGCCACCCATGGGGTTTGTTTTGGACTTCCCAGTTTCTCCCCACTGTGAAATTTGACGGTTTTGGTCTTAATTAGTCTGCCTACGTGCGTCCTGGGTAAGGCTAGAGATTTCTCGCTTATTGAAACATTCAGCAAATGGCAGGCAAACATCCCCAGAAGCCCCCCCCCCCCCGAGGTGCCCACTAAGGCTGGGCTTTTCCTCTGCAGACAGATGTGGGGCCAGGCTCCCAGGATGGCGGCAGGAAACGTGCGGCACATATTTGGGCCCACGGGACAAATGCATCTCCCCGCCCCTGCTTTTGTAGAGGCCGAGCCCCTTTGCTGACCCTCTGAAGCGGAGAGCTGAAATACTTACATGAGGGCCACCAGGCATGGACGGAGCCCCAGCGGGCGCAGGTGGCACTTGGTACGGATTAGGTGGTGTCGGGTAGAGTCCGGGAGCAGGATAGGACCCTCCGGGCGGTGGAAATGGGGCTGGTGGCGATGGTCCCCAAGGTCCGGGAGGGACAGCACCCCATGGCACGGTGGGAGCAGCCCCTGGTGTTTGGGTGGGCGCAGAATATGGCCCTGGGGGCGGATACGGCACACTAGGGGCGGGATACTGACCCCCAACGGTGGGCCCCCATCCTCCAGCGGACATGGATCCCCAGGGGCCGACAGCGGCAGGGGGGTTGGCCGGCTCTGTCGGGCCCCCATAGGCCCTGGGGAGCTCTGGAAAGGGCATATTCGGTGGAGGGTACTGCCCGGGTGGGGCAGGGCCAGGTGGTGGATAGGGCCCCCCAGGAGGGCAAGCCGATCCAGGAGGCGGAAAAGGAACGGGGGCTCCGGGGGGCAGGGAAGGATACATTCCCGTCGGGGGTGGTCCAAAAGGCACGTTGGCGGGGGAGGTGCTGGGAGGCAATCCGGACGGAGCGGCTGGGGGAGCACTTGGAGCGTTGTTCCAGGGATTGGACGCTGGCCAGGCGGCTTGTGGGGGCTGGCTAGGCGGCTGGGCAGGTTTTGTGTTGCCTACGGTGGCGTTCTTGGCAGGAGAACTTTCCGGCAGAGCATCCGCCAACTAGAAAAGTAAACAAAACAAAAAGACACCAGTGATACTCCCTCAGTGGCCATTAAGTCAACTTGAGCTCCGTCATCGGCTTGGATACCGGCCCCCATCCCTATCGCCACTTGTCATGCTATTTTTAACCCTCCCCTTGTGGAATCTTATCTCTCAGCACTAAGGTCAGAAACATGTTGGCCAAAGGGCTGTGCCTTCTTACGCCTTCTCTGCTAAGGGGCCCTTATGACCTAGATCAACTGCGCTATGGAGGCGCAGCGAAAACCCACGATATTAATAGGCAAAAGGGCTGCAAACCTGGTGAACAACCTCATGTTGCAGACCCAAGTCATCAGCGCCTTCCTTGCCCAACAAATCTAATTCCCATCCATGAGAGTAAATTAACATCCTTTACTGCCACTTCTCTGTTTTTAAGATCCCTGCATTTACTTGCAAGGTAATGCATAACTAAGAGAGAATGGTAACAAAAAATAATTTTATAGGGCCTGGTAACCTTAAGACATTCTACCCTGCTGAGTTCTTACTTCTGGGGCAGAAACCACTCTCTCGCTATCACACTGTAAGAGTCTCCCCTATGTTTCTGACTGCACGGATCTGACTGGGCCTCCCCATTGATCCAGACCAAGTGAAACAAGAGATGGGCACAAACCGGTGGTTTGGTGTGGTTCGTTTCCCAGCCAAACAGCTGATCGAGGAAACGAACTGCGCTGAACCAGAAGTGCATGCCTATCTCTAACTGAAACACACCCGCATGCCACATGAGGCAAGGATCAGCTGGTTTTTAGTGGACCTCCCCCATCGTAACCTATCCTTCTGGGATGAAGGAAGAGATCTAGGGGCACTGGTAGATACACCCAAGCCAGCTTTCACATGGCTCAAGCAGCAATACATGGGCATGTTTTGAAGCGGTGGCTCCCCAGCTTCTTGGACTTGCACATCCCCTGAGCAGCAGCAGAGCAGGAACAGCGGTGAGGGGTGTAGGGGAAGAGCAGGAAGCCAAGAAGCTGAAACTAGAGGTGGAAGAGCAGCAGCATCACTACCACTGGCTCAGCAAAAAAATAAAAATAAAACACTAAGAGAAGCATCTATGTTGCTCCTGGCTGGCTTGGCGGTGCAGCATGGAGCCGTGGGGTGCTGTGAGGGTTTCCAGAGCACTATGGCGCACACTTCGGGAACCTCTGTTCTAAAGTGCTCTGTGATTAAGATAGCCCCTTGCAGATGCCCACCATCGTGGAATGCTCTGCAAATAAATACACACCCAAGCAGGACTCTCCATACAACCCAAATGCCTGGCCTCTTGTTCAAAGCAGCTGATCCAGAACTTCCAAGATATCTATCTCAGCTGCCTCCACTGAGAACCATCTTTGAACCAGAGCAAAACTGAAGGAGAACAGCATGTTAGCTTTAAAAAAAAAGAGGGGGTCTTCCAAGCTACCTCTTCCCTTCGTTGCCATCCTGATTTCTGGGCATCCACAGGACAGGATGTGAGACCCAGCAAGTCCTCTAATCCCATTTCTTGCCTATTTTCCTTACTTTCTCTCATCTAGCAGATATCATCTGCTTTTATCCTTACCCATTCCATGTACTGAGCACAGCGTGTGCCTTGGTATTCCTCAAGCCTTCCAGATATAACTGACTACAACTCCCAGAAACTGGGGAATACCAATTGATTGTGCTCAAAGCTCTCTCTGGGTGATTTATGACATAATTTAATTATGTAGGCTACACACTACCTTAAGGGACGTGGTGGCGCTGTGGGCTAAACCGCAGAAGCCTGTGCTGCAGGGTCAGAAGACCAAGCAGTCGTAAGATCAAATCCACGCGACAGAGTGAGCTCCCGTCGCTTGTCCCAGCTCCCACTAACCTAGCGGTTCGAAAGCATGCAAATGCAAGTAGATAAATAGGGACCACTTCGGTGGGAAAGTAACAGCGTTCTGTGTCTAAGTTGCACTGGCTATGTGACAACGGAAACTGTCTTCGGACAAAATGCTGGCTCTATGGCTTGGAAACGGGGATGAGCAAAAAATTGTCAAGGGGAACCTTTACCTTTACTTTTACACATTACCTAAACCAGTTGGGAACAAACTCAGGTCATGCAGAGTCTTGTCTGCAATACTGAAGTTTAACCACTGCACTACAGGGCTCTTACAGCCAGTGGGAGCTGTGTTTCAAAAAATCCATCATACTGTGAGAAACTAAGCCTATACTTGCATATATACCATATATCTATTAAACAACCTGACACTTCCCTTAAGCCCCAATGCACAGAGATTGCCTGTTAACATGAATGGATGTGGGAGATTAACTGCATTAACAAAAATACAATGGTTTAGCAATAACATTCAATTGTCAGTAGTAAAAGCTACCACAAAACAAAATACTTTCCCCCGGAAAATGGTCAGTCTTTAAGAATCACATAAAACTGTATGCAAACATCTGATTTTTTGCATTAATTGACACAAGTGAATTATACTGCAGAAACATGCTGTGTTGGACAACTCACCGAAAAATCGTCAGCAGCTGACATTTTCCTATAGAATAAAAAGAAGAAAAATAGTGTAAGGTGAAGCTTCCATTATGGTACACACAAAATTTAAAATTCATGGATAACCCAGTAGGCTTTCTGACGGCCCATCAGCAAAGTTCAGCGAAGCCACAGATCAATATTTGGGTGTCACTGATTATGCCACAGCCACTCTAAAATAAAAGGCACACATCACTGCAACTGATAGGTCTACATGAAAGATCAATTAGCAAAAGAATCTGCTAACCATTCACATTAGTATCATAAAGTAAGGAAGTTGGAAGTGGTCGATAAGGCCATCGGGTCCAATCCCCTGCTCAATGCAAGAAAGCAAATCAAAGTAGAACTGACAGATGGTCATCTAATTTTCTCTTGAAAGCCTTGTCCTACTGCTCTGATATTTAATCAAAATCTGGCTTCTTGCAAATTGAGCCTATTATTACATGTCCTGCACTCTGGGATGGTGGAGAACAGAATGGGACACAGATGAAGTCTAACCAGTGCCAAATAGAGAAGAACTAGTATTTCACAGGATCTGGAGATTAAATATCTGTTAATGTAGCCTAGAATAGCATTTGCCTTTTTTGCAGCCACAGCAAACTGTTGGCTCATACATGATACATAGATTATATATCATAATACGCCTCTCACCAGGATTGAGGATTTGGGCTAAGGACCTAGCAGAGTGAGGATGTTCCCAAATGACTGGGTTGAGCTCAATTAACAGAAGCCGAACTAAACATTACTTGCCACCTGCATTTAGCAGTAGGATATCTGTGGACATAGCACCAGCTTTCGGCTTTCGGCTTAAGCTATGGTTTTTCCTGTCGTGATGTATGGAAGTGAGAGCTGGACCATAAAGAAAGCAGACCGCCGAAGAATTGATGCCTTTGAATTGTGGTGCTGGAGGAGACTCTTGAGAATCCCCTTAATACGCCTCTCACCAGGATTGAGGATTTTGGCTAAGGACCTAGCAGAGTGAGGATGTTCCCAAATGACTGGGCTGAGCTCAATTAACAGAAGCCGAACTAAACATTACTTGCCACCTGCATTTAGCAGTAGGATATCTGTGGACATAGCACCAGCTTTCACAGAAATTCCACTGTGCCAAGTCTGCAGAAACATGATCCATCACAAAATCCCCAGGAACCTCTGCTTCCCAAGGAGCTGCTGGCATTTTACTATGCAAATGCTCTGCACTGTCTTTTTCCTTCGTTCCAGTCCCCTACTATGGAAGTCCAAGATTAAAAACAAATAAACATATACAGTATATGATCCTAGATAAACCCCTGCTGAGAAGGATAGTCCATAAAATGCACTTTGCCAGCAGCTAAGCTCTCCATCTGTTCAGGCCTCTCTGAGGGTTTCTCAAGTGATCGGGCCTTCTTCTGTTGAAAGACAGCCTAGAGGGCTTCCTCTCCTGGGCAGAATAAACCTAAAGAGGCTTAACTCCCTGTATCCTGCCTCGAAATATCACTCAAAAGATTTTCATGCTTGAAAGACAAGAGAGGGGACTACATACCTATAAAATAACTTAAATTTAACTCAGTGGGGCAATGAAGGGCCCAACCAGGCAATTGGCAACCCTGCCACATGGATAGCACACTGTGGCCCCTACTCCACTCTCAATGAACCCCTATAAATCTCTGGCCCTTGAGGCTCATCAAAGGCGCCTCCAATGTATTAGCTTCTAAACTACAGTGGCACACATGCAAGACTAGATTAACCAGGGTGGATGGACAGAGTCTACCTCTGCCACATTTACACCAGAGCCGAAACTTTGCACGGACCAAAGGCACTTGGGGGTAGAAAACTAGACATGATCCCAAACCCTGATGTAGCACTCTTTAGTTTCCAGGTATGTAATNGAGAGAGAGACCCACTGATTTTGCCTGCTGGATTCAATAATGGGCTGGACTGATGCCCAATATCGTAAAATCTAAAAATAGAAGTATTCCAGCAGTAATTGCTAGTTGAATGACCTGCATAACTGTGGTGCCACACCCTTGAACTAGGACAAGGGAAAAGTGAGCTGCAGAACCTTTACACCAGCTGCTGACTAAGCTTAGGATGAGGAAAACAATAAACCAATAAGGTGATTCCTGGTACCAGCAACACAGCCCCACCCACAGGGAGCCGATCTAGAAGGTCGCTACAGTGAACTAGCATTCTAGTACAGCACGGACAAATGACCAGAAGTTACAATTCTGGAAAATGCATTCACATCTTCAGCATTTGCTCTACCATATTTATAACACTCCTAATAATATCAATTCAATAAGACACTAGTTAAATAAAAAACCAAGAAAATAACAAACCAACAAATACAACAGCAATTCGCAGCAGGATTGAATCAACACCATCAGTGGAAGCCTGTAAAAACGCATGTTTTCAAGTCGTACCTAAATGTAAACACAGCATGGCCAGATAGACCCCTACAGAGTGGAATCCCACAACTGGGGAGCCACCACTCTGTAGTTCCTGTTCTGCACGGTAGCCTCATGAGCCATGCTCTCCAACACTGTTCCTCCTACGGATCGTAAGATTTGCTCAACATGTAACGGGAAAAGGGATCCTTTTAATTCTTAGGTTATGAGTCACTTAAGAGATTGAGGTACTAGTACCATTATACTAAACTGACCCTAACAATTCACTGACAACCAGTGTATAGTTTTCAGCATCCACGGTCTTATTTTCCTGCCTGGACAGGAGCATTCATTCTCAACTTAAGCTTATGAGCAGTCTTCAAAAACTCAAACATCTGGGGGCTCAAGGTGGGGGAACCACTGATCTACAATACTCAACTTCTACCCAATATAACAGAGCACTGCTCACCTAACTGAAATAACCCAGCTGATTCCCACTTCATGTCCAAAACACTTTCCCCACCTTGTTTCAAGTAAGCATACTTATGAGAAATGGTATATTTATTAGCTTAACTGGTCTGAAATCCCAGTTGACTTTATATTTTGTTGTTGTTGTTTGGTCATGTCCGACTCTTCGTGGTATTAGCTTAACTGGTCTGAAATCCCAGCTGACTTTATATTTTGTTGTTGTTGTTTAGTCGTGTCCGACTCTTCATGACCCCATGGACCAGAGCAGGCCAGGCCCTCTTGTTTTCCACTGCCTCCCGGAGTTGGGTTAAATTCATGTTGGTCACTTTGACGACACTGTCCAACCATCTCGTCCTCTGTCATCCCCTTCTCTTGCCCAATTAACACTCACCTAAACTGTCTGTTTCTCCCTGGCTTGATTCAAACTGTTTTAGTGTTGGAAAACACTTAATAGCCCAAATCCTCCTGGGTGGTTAAAGTGGCATCATACTAGCGCCATAGCTTCTGGAGGCAAACTGCTTCAAGAAATCATCCTGGACATGACCTGTTTTGCATTGCATCATGCAACTCAATAAGCAACAGGTAATGTCTATCATGATTTATTAACTTCGTGCAATTTGCTTCCAAAAGTTACTCCATTAGTGTGACACTGGGCTAAGTGTGTAACAGGATTTTGGCCTACATTGTCCTTCTAGCAGTAAAGCGGACTCCTGATCGATTAATATCTCCACAGGGGATAAAGGTCCAGCTTTAAGCAGTTCACACCTGACTTATGAAATAATCTGAGGACAGGAAAGGCACTGGCAGAGTGGAAGAACACTGTCAGATTTTACAGACAAGCAATGACGACGTCACAATTCTAAGCTAAGAATGTCCGAAAATACTGAACTGTTAACAAACTGAGCCTTAATTATGTGAACCAGGTGCAAGCGAGGAAGACAGATAACTTCATGGAAATCTGGAAAAAGTTTTAAAACCTGACTTTTCAGAAAACACTGCAATAGAGTGTAAGTACAACTTCTTTCTACTGAGATTATTCCTGGAATAGAACTTTTATCTGTGTGGGATTCAGCTATTAACACCATCTCTTTAATTAGAACTGACATAGACTTGAGCTTTTCTTGTTGCTAAAGAGCCCACGGATGGCCCCTTCTGTCTATTTTTTCCCCCAGTTGTTAACCTTTGTAATGGCCATGAACGCTCCTATGTTTTGCTCATGCCTCTACAAGCCACCGTGTTATTCAGTGGCATTGTCACTGGCAAAACATTACATAACTATTCTAACACACAGCTGAAACAAGGAACCCTATTTTCTATTATATCAGTTCTGGCTGGTGGATTTTTTTGAGGTTTCTGTTAGCATTCTACAGAGACAACACCTTATGTGGATCCTTCTGCAAGGCTTTTTTTAAAGTTAACTTTAGATGGAATGGAATGGCTTTAGAAAGCTCTCCAGAACATACATAGTGGATGGACAAAATCCTGTTAGCACAGCTACATACATAATGTAGATGATGTCATCAGACACAGCAATTTTTCATAAATAAAACATTTCTGATTTTCTCAGCCACAAGGAAGACAGATAACAGCTTCATGGAAATCTGGAAACAGTTTTAAAACCTGACTTTTCAGAAAGCACTGCACTTTTCAGAAATAAAACATTTCTGATTTTCTCAGCCACCCCCAATCTCCCACGGAATTCCTTCTGACACAGAAAAGCCACCAGGGCCCTTGGAGTGCAAGGGAAGGTCTTCAATTGGAAAAAAAAGTATGTATTGTTGCTTTAAAAGTCATTCCAGTGGTGACAATTTCAGGAAATTAAATTCTTCTTTGTCCTGCACCCCTGAAGGCTTTGCTGTGAAGAAAGATTCCATGAGAGCTGGAGGTGACAGGAGAAATTTATTTACCCAAAATTGTCACCAGTGATTACACTTTTAGCCTTACGTGGCGCATACAGGTCCGCAGCCAATAAATTCCTTGACTAATTAAAACAGGGATGTAACATTAGATAGGTAACCTTGTGTAACAGCTATCACACCTCCAACCACCTGTTCCCTCACCAATTTTGCCATTCCAGAGAACTCCCGGCAAGAGTTGAAGGCAAACAAGAGAACGGTTAAGTGGGAAGCAAAAAAGTCATCCGAGTTATGCTATGAAGTCAAAAGGCGTACTTCTATAAAGGATGGGCTGTGGGTGGGAGTAAGATTACTGACTGCATCCCACTGCTGTGCTCCGAAATACTCCTTTGGTCTTGACCTAGATGAGATTTACTTGCATGCAAACACAGTCACGGTCACAGGAAACCTGGTTAACTCATTTCTAATAACTTCCAATTGTGATCTCAAGCACTTTACAGACAGCATAGAGGGGTGTTTTTAACTTGAAGCCATACTTCCTAACTAAAAACAAGACAACACAGAGGCTTATTTGGGTTTTTTTAAAAAATATATATACTTGAAGCAACAGTTATTTTCTTCCTAACTAAAATCAGAGACGTTCAATTTCTACACTGAGAATGGGCTCCGCTGCCTCTGATCTGTCTCTAGGGCTGGTGTTTTCCTTGCCCTGTTGCCCAAACATACAGCGTTCCTGAAGGGTGGTGCCCACACATTTCTTCGCAGCTCTTGTCAGTGAAATTCCTGACTTCCTCCAGTCGCCACTGATCGATATTCAGGTGTACTTCCTTATCCCAGCAGGGACGGCGGCCTGAACCCATCAACCTGAGGGCTCATTTTGGCCCCACACGTGCAGGAGTAGAACAGCTCCCACGCCCTTGCCACAGGGATCCCAGACACTTCCCCACAGGGATCCCTCGAAGAAACCCACGAAGGGTCGGCGTCGCCTACGCCCCACACGGAATCGGGGCGGCTGGGGGGGGGCGTCTACAGAGGCCTCAGAGGCCTCCCAGCCCCATGGCGCTAAAACTGTGCTCACGACCTGGGGTTCAAATCCCAGGTAGCCGGCTCAAGGTTGACTCAGCCTTCCATCCTTCCGAGGTCGGTAAAATGAGTACCTAGCTTGCTGGGGGGGCAATGTGTAGCCTGTATAATTAAAAATTGTAAACCGCCCGGAGAGTGCTTGTAGCGCTATGGGGCGGTATATAAGTCCAATAAATAAATAAATAAATAATCCTCCCCCAAGGAGATAGCGGGGGGGGGGCTTCCAGGGCCCTCTCACCGCCTACTTTTTTAAAACCTGCGAAGCAGACCAGGCTGAACAACAACAACAGCAGCAGCGCCGGGCCCAACCTGACGGAGACTTGAACCCAGGTCCAACCCTTTCAGCCCTGGTCGGTCTCTAGGCGAAAAAAGGGCGACCCGGGGCAAGGACTGGGCCTCCACCCTTTCGGCCCAACCCTCCCCAGGCCAGGCCCGCCGGCCTCCTCAAGGTGGGGTTTACTCCCGAGGAGAACCTGGCCCCAGGTTGAGGCTCCTCGGCGGCGGGCAAGGGGAACCGGGCCCCGGGGCCGCCCTCAGTCCACACCGAGGCCCGCCCGCCGCCTCCCTCCCTCCTTCCCACCGCGGGGGGTTTCAGCCCAGCCCAGCCCAGCCCCCGACCTGAGGGGCCGCGAGGGAGCCCGACGACGGCGTTAGCGACAGCAGCGACGGCGGCGGCCTCTCCTTCTCCTCCTCCTTTCTTCCTCCCCTTCCTCCTCAACCCAGCCAGGCGGAAACGGAAATGGGAAAAGAGCTGCTCTCTGGGAAAGAGCGGCCTCCGGTCACGTGAGGCGAGCGGGGATCCCTTGTACCCCTCGTCGCCCCATCCCACCCGCTCCACCACTGAGCATGCGCGCAAGAGTGGGATGAGCCCACGTGACACACCCCCATTTCATTCCTTCCTTCCCCGCGCTTCGTGGGACGGCTGGGCTTTTGAGGCGCTGCGCGTCACGTGACCGCCGACGGCAGCTTCCTCTCTTGAAATGCCGGCATCTGACTTGCGATAGCGGTCCCTGGGGGTGGGAGGAGAGAACTGCCGTTAGGCATGCACTACCGTCCAACTATGAATGAACTGATGGATGAATTAAGCGGGAGAGAAGTTTCTTAAGAACCAGGCCGCGACATCTGTATTGGATATCCCCAATTTTGAGGCCATGTATGAATATCTGTCATATGCCTCATGAAACGGACTTGTCCGCGAAAGTAACTTTTGAAGCTGAACAGGTGTTAGGTGTTAACATCTCTGTGAAATATTTCTCATTATACCTAACTTTGTGATTACTCGCCAAATAACATCTTACCAAAAAGTAACTAGTTGCAGTAACTATTTCACTTATAACTAATTACTTCCGAACCTTACTTATAACTGAGATGTAGTTCAAAAGTAACATAACAAGTAGGACTGAACTTACTTTATGGTTAAGGTCAGTAATGTTCTCCAGTTACTTGCCCATTCACTTGTAATGGACATCTAGAGAGGAATTTTCACAATAATTTCATCCCATTATTTGATCAAGCCACGTTTTGTCTGAAAAAAATTAGAGAAAGGTAATAAAATGTAGGAAAAATCCAGAAAACACACAATTTTTTAAATTCTAATTTCTGAGATCTTGGATTCTGCCCAGAAAACAAAAAAAAAATAATTCTAATTTCTGAGATCTTGGATTCTGACAGCTGGGGGGGGGGAAATAACTTCCGTTTTTTCTCATCAATGCAGCATTGCAATAAGTTACAACCCCAGATATCTTTCCAGATTCAGGAACGAGTGATGGAGATGAAATACATTTTAAACGTAATTTCCTAAACTACTAACAGCTTTGGAAGAGAAGGATGTGTGGGTGTGGGGCCCCGGTTCATTTGGCCATTTTCAACCTACTGTATGTGCAATTTTCCTAAACTTCCCTATAAATTCTTGTTATGCCACTAGGGGGCAGGGTGATTCCATCACACGTCCACAGCTGGAATACGGACAGGAGAATTCTGGGAGCAGTAGTTCCACAAGAAGTAACTTCCCCAAGCTCTAACCATACACTAAAATGCTAGCCGAAGAGAAAGCAAGACACCCCCCCCACACACACACACAGAAAAAAATCACAGGAATATCTAATATGTGGATTTTATCTGTGGAATTCAGAGACAAGTCTGTTTTTGTTATGTTGGTTTGAAAATATTTTTACCCTGACTTGCTACCTAAAAAGGACCCAAGGGGGTTTACGTCATTAAAATACAAGACTGAAAGCTACAAACAGTAAGTATACAAATAATAAAAAGGATCAAACACAGAAAGGGATCACCAAAAGCAACATTAGAAAAACATTTGAAACAGGAAGGCACCAGCATCTGTTTGAAAATTACAGTGCGCTCAGGTGGCCAGTCACTCCAGGAAAGCTCGCTTGAAGAGAAAGGACTTTGACCGCTTGCAGAAGGACAACAACGAGGGGACCAGTCCTGTGGGTGGAGGTAGATAGGTCGATAGCTAGGCTGAAAACATCTGGAGGTTGGTTCAAAATGTCCAGAGACTTTGGTGGTTTTTCGATTGGCAGCTATGGCCCAGGGTTGGGTTTTTTTGACCATGCTTACCCACTCTCTACATTCCTTGAGATTTGATTGCTACAACCTCTACTGATACCTTATGTGCTGCACGACAACACCCATCATCCCCAAGCAGCATGCTGACTGCATAAGAGTTGTACCCAGCACATCTGGAGGGTACCAAGCAGGGCGATGGAATGCCCCCCAGTGCTTAAGTGATGTGGCTGCCAGTGTAATTCCTCCTTAAAGGTCGTGGCTTTAACCTTTGTGATGCTCATGCGTTCTTATGCTCAGTTTCGAACAGATTTAGTCTAAGACCCTGGTTCTTAACCTTGGGTTACTCAGGAGTTTTGGACTGCAACTCCCAGAAGCCTTCACCACCAGCTGTCCTGACTGGGGTTTCTGGGAGTTGCAGTTCAAAAGCATCCGAGTAACAAAGGTTAAGAACCACTGGTCTAAGACACTCGTCGACTACATACTTCTCCCCCAGATGAAATTATGAAATGTATGCACTGAAGTCACTAATGTTCACAACATGTCCCCTCTTGGTCTTGGGGTTGAAAACACAGTCAGCCACTGTAAGTCTTTCCCGCTTGCACAAGAGTGCAAGTCCCCCCCCATCGTTGACCATGCGGGGGATATGGTCCCGCTGTCCTGGCAGGCCACCCGCCTTGGCCTTTTCCACCACCACCACCACCACCCTCGGCTTCGTTGAAACAGGGCATGACAGGGCATCCCACTGAATCAGGTTGCCCGACAGCCAGCAAAAGGAGGACATGTCCTCCTTGTTACCCTAATGTCCTCCGTCCGGCAGGCAAAGATAAAAGCCTTTAAAATGTCCGGCTTTTGTATATTTTATGTTGTAATTTTGGATGGGAGGGGGAGAAGCGGAATGACCTCCCCCACCGAGCCAGGCAGGAGCAAGCAGTACCCGAGCGCATCGATGGGAAGGTGAGAGCCCGGATGGTGTGTGTTCAAAGTCCCTTTCAGGGACTCCGACTCCCACTCTCCCCAGCCTTGAACTTATGACCCTCGGGGGGAGAGGAGGCTGCCTCGTTCGGCTTTGCCCGGTGCCGCTTTCCCCTTGCCTGTGCTGGAGCCTTGTTTGGGTGTCCAGATTAGCAAATTTGCCTCTGAGCCTGTGCAGAGTGCGAGTGGCCAGGGGATCCTGCAGCCGGGCCGAGGTGGGTTCGGGTTTATTTGCTTTGCTCCCAGCTGGAAGACGCTGTTTCTTGGTAGCCCCCCTTCCTGTTTGTTCTGTTTATATATATTACTAATTTTTGTGATCCATGTTTATAAAAATGGCTTCTACAAAGAGAAAATGCAAATTCTCGAACACTGTGAAAAGCATGTTTCCATGCTTCGTTGAAGGACGCAATGAGAAGGAGGCAAAGTGTACAATTTGCAATAGTTACTTGTCCGTTGCCAACGAAGGAGCTACTGACTTGGAGCCCCATGTTGACCATGAGAGGCATAGAAACCTAACCTGTGAACCGCTTTATGCATATGTGATTGCTAACGAAGATCTGCGGAAAGTTGGCTCCTCCAAGAAATATGTTGTGTCATTAATAAAGATTATAAGGTAATAATTGTACCATTGGCTGTTTAAATAATGTTTTTTTGGTATTTTTTTTTGGGGGGGGGAAGCCTCCACTAAATTTATTTTTATTTTTTAACATGACTGTTTCTTGGTCGGTTCACTAAGAGACCTTTACTGGCAGCTATTGTAATAAAATTGTATTGATTGCGGGTTTAATCTGGAACGATTCAAATGAAAACATTCAATACATCCTCCTCTGTCCTCTCTTTCGTATTTCTATGTCCTCCTTTTGGTACCCATGTATCTAGCAACCGTACCAGTGAAGGGATGTGGGGGAAGCCCGCTGCTCTTCAGCTTACCACCAATGCTGACTCCCGGAGACCAGGGTAACCCACTGGGCTCCCAGGTCCCAGACCGACCCTCAAGAGGTCCAGTCACAGCGGTAAGGATTGCTTTGACTTCATGGAGCCTGTGGCCAAAGAGGCCTCTGCCCCCCTCCCCCCCCCCCCCGCCCTGAGCAGGCGTGGCCACGGTCCTCAGCAGCCTTAACCAAGAAAAGGTGAAAAACTTGCACTTACTGTTTGTGCAAAGAACGCTTCCATGGGCTTTTCACAAGAGCCCCGACGTGCACAAAAATTCATATTCTCCTCCAATTGAGGAGAAAGTTTCAAAAAAATAAAAATAAAAAAGGAAAGTGTGCTGCTTATATACCGCCCCATAGTGCTTCAAGCACTCTCTGGGCGGTTTACAAGTTAATTATGCTGGCTACAAACATTGCCAAGCCCCCGCGAGCTGGGTACTCATTTTCCCGACCTCGGAAGGATGGAAGGTTGAGTGAACCTTGAGCCACCTACCTGGGATTGAACCCCAGGTCGTGAGCACAGTTTTAGTTGCAGTACAGCAGTTTAACCACTGCGCCACGAGGCTCTCAATTTTTCCCCCTACAAGGATAACATCAGCGAAGATTGAACCCCCTCGTCTGAGGTCGCTGTGAGGGGTCCTAATTCTGGGCTCTCTGTGCAAAAAGACCAGGCCAGCATATTAAAGTAGCAGGACCAGCTTGAGTCCAGAGTTGAGGAAAGGGCCCCTTCTCTCTGAAATGCCATTTGTTTTGGACTGGCTGTCAGAGAGTGCGAGACACATATCCAAATAAACTTAACTTCATGCACAAAAGAATGACCCCTCTCTTCCTCCTTGGTTCTTTTATTCAAACATACTTTTAGCGATTAACCCAAGCTGCAGAAGAAGGGGCTTTTAACCAGCTGAGTGTTGTGTATTTTTAATGGTTGGATCTTAAACTGCACTTTTTCGAAGGGTTTGTACATTTTCATTCCTATGTCTCCTATTTTAATTGCATTTAACTGATTTTTGCCCTGTTAGCTTCCTTGAGTGTCTTCTTTTGGGAGAAACATACAGTATAAACCCAATAGATCATAAATAAATAAATAACATATTAGGTCGCTTCAATGACCCTGTCCATCCATCTCGTCCTCTGTCGTCCCCTTCTCCTCTTGCCTTCACACTTTCCCAATATCAGGGTCTTTTCCAGGGAGTTCTCTCTTCTCATGAGATGGCCAAAGGATTGGAGCCTCAGCTTCAGGATCTGTCCTTCCAGTGAGCACTCAGGGTTGATTTCCTTCAGAACGGATAGGTTTGTTCTCCTTGCAGTCCAGGGGACTCTCAAGAGCAATCATAATCTATCACAATTCATAAATCACACAATGTATACTATACTGTAATTCATGTAAGATATTTTCAAATAAAAAAACATTAAGCAAGAACAACGT